ATTTGGTTTGTGCAGTGTTTTAAACACCAGTGGTTTTAAATTAAAATCCAGATTTTCAGATTGGCTTTGAAAAGGGCCGCACTGAACCTAGATTCCACATGGCAACAGGTAGCTGTTCAATAGTCCCTGGGTGTGGGGCCCTTTCCCTTGAGTTCACTGCTGTCCCCAAGACTTCATATCACCGTGCAATCGTCCTCTGTCTCCCTTGACTAATTTATGATGTCCGCTTGGACCTGGCAGACCGGTGAGTTTGTTACTTCCTAACTCAAGCCAAGCATCTCTTCTCTTTAAAATATCCCCTAAGCCTTCTAGGTCCCATTGGGTACCCATTCCTCTTAACACTTTCTTTTCAAAGGAATTTAATTATAAAGGACACGTAATGCTTGTAGGCGTGGACTTTAGCAAAGACACAAATCAAAGTAGCTACCACCGTCCGTTGGTTGGTTGGTTGGTTGGTTGAGTTCTTATTTTGTGCCAGGCATCACATACACTGTTTTGCAGTAGTATCTTGTCAATTCCTCAAATCATTTTTTCAAGTGCATTTTATTGTCCCCAAGTCACCGATAGGCAAGTGGAGACCGAGGTAAGAGAAGAAAGCTGCTCAGGTCACAGAGCTGCTAAGTAGGAGAAGCAGGGTAGAGCCCAGGACTCTCAGGCTCCCAAGCCTGTGGTTTTACCTGCTGCATTACGTTGACTCCTTTGTTTTGAGCATGGAATCTCTAACTCCTGCAATATTCCCTGCTGGGAATACACAAGCAAGGAACTGAACCAGGTCATTCGGAAACTGTACTCTCGTGTCACTGTCTCTCATCCTCAAGGCCAGAAGAAGCAGCCACCCACGGCCAGGCGCCAAGGCTCGCCAGAGGTTGGGGATGTNGCGCCAGGGCTCGCCAGAGGGTGGGGATGGATGATGCTGTGATGACTCTCTCCTGTGAGCCAGCCGGAGCTAGGACACGGGCTGAGAAGTCGTCCCCTATTGAAAACCAGATTCTTTACTGGGCAATGGGTGATGAGATCAGCTCAGGCACAAATTTTTCCATAGGAAAGGGCAATTCTCATGTCCAACATATTTAATTATCTTTGTGTGTGCATGCGTGTGAGCGTGTATGTGTGTGCAAAGTAGTGTAGCGTTAGAGCTAAGAGTATGGCCTCTGAAGGAAAAATCACAGAGTTCAAATCCTGACCTATGATGCAACCTGAGTGACCTTGGGCAAGTCACTTAGCCTCTCTGAGCTCCTGTCTCTTTCACCTGTATAAAGAGGGTCGTGCTGGTACTTCCCTCCACACACAGCTGTTGTAAGTGTCTGCAGGTACACAGGATGGCTGATCTAAAGGACTTATTGCAAGAGACAAAGTTCCAAATTCTCTCAGCGTTACCCACGACCCAGCCGTGTCTACCTCCTGATGACGATGCGTTGCAATCAGACCCAATCTGAGAGTCGCCAGAACTTTGAAAACCATTCAAGCCCCGTGCGTGCAATTTCACGGCGGATCTGAAACCGTCGAGCCGCGCCAGGCCAGGCGGGAAGAGAGGAGACGAAGCCTGCCTGTGTTTACAGCCTTTGACAAATGGGCCCTCATCTCCTCCTGACAGATTCTGCCCCGACTGATCCATCAGCCGCTCCTCTCATCACCTGAATCGCAGTCTCCATAATAGCGCTGGAATTCAGATGGATTTTACACCACAAATAAAAATGAATTTAAATGCCTGCGTTCCCCGCCGACAACACAGGCACTGTAAATGTCAAACGCGTGCGGCTGTGGGCGGCTGCTGAGTGATGGGCGCCCCTCCCCGCCTTTGCTAAACCTGCGTTGGCCCCCCGCATTCATCCGGGGGAGGAAACTGCCTGTGTTCCTACTTCCCACTTACGGGTGTGAAAGGCCGCCGGCCTTTCAGGCCTCCCTGTGACGCCCTCTGGGTGATTTCCAGAAGCGGCCAGGAAGCCGCCCAAGCCCGGGCCCACTCGCAGGGGTTGTGCTAATCGGTGGTCTCGGAAGCAAAAGAGAGACGTAAAAACCAAACCCCACTCCAACGCGCACCACGGGTTTCCCCATGAACAACCGGGCAAGTTCTCCAAACGACGGCCAGCTCTCCGCCTGCCTGCGGGAAGCAGGATCGGGAGAAGGGAAAACAGAGAAGCAGGAGGGAAGGAAACTGCTTTCATTCTGTCCACAGCCCAGGTCGAGCCCAGGCTGCCGCCGACCCAGGAGAGAGATTTTCCTTAGGATGAGGGCTCTGTCCAACTGCTGAAACCCACCACTCGGCCACCACCAGTGTATCTGGTCTGGGTTCCAGGGGAAAGCGGCCCAACTCCAGGCAAACAGCCTCAGCAAGTGGGATAAGGTATGACGTTGGGGGGGCCGGCGGGAAAGGCAGTGTTAGAATGGAGGGAAAACTGGAGGCCTTGGGTTTTCTAAAGTCCTTTTATCAAGAAGATACTCAACAGTTATGCAGGCAGAAGTATAAATAGGAGCACAGGGATATGCCCAGGGGCACACAGGAAAGAAGGGAAAGGAAAAGAAGGTGGCTTCTTGGGAGGCCACCGGGTCCCAGACACCTTGCGATCAGCTTTCCCGGCTGAAGGAAACGGAGCTTTGAGGAAACACGCCGGTTCCCCCTCGGAGCTCTCGGCATTATATAAAAACCCACCGGGGCCAAGGGGTGGCCCCTTCAGAGGCAGGCTGGCTTATTATTTTAGCACCTCTGCCATCTCCTGTCACTTCAACTCCACTTTATCAAATTACCGACTTTGCCAGAAGCGTTCGGATTAAATGGAGAGGGCCGCACGCGCCGGCAGCGGGCACCGCCGCTTCCAGGGTGAGATTCCGTAATTACGCGGCGGGCGGCAGGCCTGCCGGAGGGCATTCGAGGGACAGGGTGACGGGGGCTGCTGTGGCGTCCTGCGGGGGGGCGGGTTGGCATTCCTCTGCTGGGGGTGGACTCTGCCCTCTCGGGCGATTAGGCTCTGCATCTTCACTTTTTCATTAAGAGACAGGACCTTCGTATACAAGCTACCTCCAGCCCTTCCCCCCCACTCCCAGCCGCTTCAGGAGACACAGAGAAGCGACAGCCCAAACGGACACGTCACAGAAATAAATAAATGGGAAAAGAATCTAGACAGGAAGTGAAGTTCTGTTGAACGGAAGAAATAAAGGGTCCTCAGAGAGTAAGACAATAGACACAGAAGGAGATGTTACAGTCTTGTATCTCTAGGCGTCATCACCATCAAGTGCAGCCAAAGGTTGGGTTAATTCACGCGTCATTAGTCATATGAAGTCAGGTTTAGAAAGCAACGGAAGGACGCTTTAGGAGCGAGGCTTCGTGTGAAGTGTCTGACTCAGCCCACCAGTCCACGACAAAGCACAGAAACACACGTGTGTGCGCGTGTGTTACTTTTTTGAAAACAGCTGAAGCCACATACAGAGTGACCAACGTGGCCTCTCCCCACCGGGAAGCACCGCAGGGCAGCCAGCCACAGGCTTGGGCATGGGTCTCATGGTGACACAGGCCCACAGGCAGTGCAGGGAGGGGAGCGGAGCCGTGTGGCCGCTTTCGCCGCCCGGAGCTTCTCTGGGTTGCTCATTTATCTTGTTGCTGATGGAACTGATGTTGTTTTAACAGCATCAGTTCTCCTGGCATCTTTCAAAAACTACTGGCGAAGAAAGTAAAAGAAAACAGTAAAGAAAGAAAGAAAAATTACTGGGCAAAAACGTGCTTGTGAATTCCATAAAAGTCCAGGGGAAGTAAAAACACCCTGAACGTTGGAAGCAGAGCAGAACACGCGTCCTCATGACATGAGCCGAGCGCCTGGGGCAGATCACTGACGGCAGGGCTGGGGGAGCAGACGAAAAGTTCTGTGGACACGTCAGCCCAAGTGGCAGTTCTGTTTGTCCAACTCACAAAGCACATGCCCTTGAGGATACCAGCACGTAAACATGTGGCGAATGCGCATCTGAATGGAAACACCTTGGTCTGCCAACCGCAGCGACGCAAAACCCCCACTAAGAGAAGGTCACACAGAGAGCATTCAAGCTACTGTATCATTATTTCTTTCCATATGGGGAGATTGCCTTTCAGTGAAAAGGAACATTTGTTTTGAGAAGTTTTCCGCCACCTTATTAATCAGCAGATGACTGAGCTATGGCATCATCAGGGCTAGAAACCCCTGCTTGAAATGATAATGGCATTCGACTATAGTGGTGCAGCCGGGGAGAGAAACATCTTCTGAGATTGTGGAATGATGTCCAGAGTAGCCAGGAGATACATACCCTCATTTCACTTGTTTTTGTTTTTTTTTTTGGATTCAAGGCGATAAAGGTAAAGTTTGATCTGCTAGGATGTGCTCTGCCCCAGAAACTTCTGTGAACTCTTGTCAATAAAGAGAGACCCTGAGAATATTAAAGTGGAGAACCACTGGCCCAACAGCACTTTTCCTGAGGGATCCGCACCAAGTGTAACAAGAAGACAAATGGGGGGAAAACTCTAAATGTGCAGGGAGTGTCCTCCCCTTGCGGCCCCCATAACATCTCATGTAAACAGGTTTATATCACAGGAAGTCGCCGCTCCTGTGACTGCNACAGGAAGTCGCCCCTCCTGTGACTGTGTCATGATGGAAACTGAGGCAGACTCTTCAACACAAAGGGTGTAGATCAAATACAGGGACACCCCCAGAAAACCCTAATATTATGCATCCTGCGTGTCATAATATGCAATATGAGACATTATATATAATCTTCAACAATATTCAACTAAAATGCAAAATGACTTAAAGAAAATATCAGCACCAATTTCTTAAATAACTTACATTATGCATTCGTCATCTAAATTGTCAGAAATAACACAGAGCAAAGGAAATAATGATGAATAATTTAGGACTGTCGAGACGTGTCTAACATCAGCATGAGTGTGGCCTTTGCAAGCCACCGTCCAGCAACACTGGGCTTTGATCACCGAGTTCTTGTTTTGTTGGAAACCAAGACAATGAAAAACATGGTCTTACCTTTCTGTCTTCTATTTCCGCGCAGGTGTTGCAGTCTGCTTTGATATCCTGAGAGGAGAAGAGAAAGAAAGAACAAGCATCAGACCCATGGTCAGGGAACACTCGGCAGTGTCGTTGAAATGCCCTTTAAAATAATAGAGCTCCAGCCGCACCTCCCCCCAGCAGTGCTTCTCGAGCCATTGCTCTTTATAGCGCTTTTTAGAAGTATGTGCCTTGGTGTTTGCATTACAGACATATGGATGTCATAACGAAGCTCTATTACATGCAGATGTGGGCAAAGGCAAAAGCTATGGATCAGAGGCCACGGCAAAGGGAAGCTGATGGTTTATATAATAATACGCTCCCCAGACACCTTTGTCCACATCAGCAGGCTGCCCTTAATCAGACTTAATGTCTCTCTCCCATCCCAGATTCAGAATAGTGAAGTCATCCTCCCTTCAGCACAAAACTGTCACCATCTACTTTTTATCTTTCCATCCATCCATCCGCCCATNTTCAGCACAAAACTGTCACCATCTACTTTTTATCTTTCCATCCATCCATCCGTCCATCATCCACCCATCCATCCATCATCTATCCATTTGTCCGTCCATCTGTCCGTCCATCCATCCATCCATCCATCCANCATCCATCCATCCATCCACCCATCCATCTATCCATCCATCATCATCCATCCATCCATCCACCCATCCATCTATCCATCCATCATCATCCATCCATCCATCCATCCATCCATCCATCCATCCATCCATCATCCATCCATTATCCGTCCCTCTATCTATCGGTCCATATTTATTGCCTGCTTACTTTTTTATGCCTTTTTTCTTGTTGCTCTTGAAAGCAATGGTGAAAAAAAACATGATTTTTACCCTCAAGGAACTTGCCGTTTAGGTGGAATGGTGCACGCACACTCACACACACACTCACACACGGGTAACCGTTATATCCATTCACTCATTTGAAAGGTGCGCGGTCAGTGCCTATTGCTTGCCAGGCCTGGCTCTGGGTGCTGAGGACTCAGTAACCCATGGAACACGTGGCGACCCTGCCCTGTGGGACCTACACTCGGATGGAAAAGACATAGGATCACAAACATGTAAATAAGTGTTTGCTTTTCTGGAGGAGGATTCATACGATGGAGAAACAGAAAGCAGGGAGGAGAGGGTGGGGACTCTGAGGGCAAGAGAATAAAATTTTACATTTTAAAAAGCAGCAACTGAGTGAAGAAAGTTAAGGGCTGGGCCCTGGGGCCGCCTGGGGGAGGGCATCTCGGGGGAAATGTGCTGGGCTGGTCACCCTGGAGGAAGGGAACCCCTGCAGCTGCAGGGGAGTAAGAGGAATAACGGGCAATGAGGAACCCACAACCTAGGTACACGCCCTGACCGGGAATCGAGCCCACGACCTTTTGGTGCACAGGACGACACTCCAACCAACTGAGCCACCCAGTCAGGACCATCTCCAAACTTTTTCATTTTCCCAGGCTAAGCAAGTCCTTATTCTCCCTCCTTGCAGCCCCTAGAAACCATGATTTTACTTTCTATTTCTATGAATTTGACTATCTGTGTCTGTCTGTTAGAGTTGTCATAACAAAAGCTCCACAGACTGGGTGGCTTACACAAAAAAAATTTATTTTTATCACAGTGCTGGAGTCTAGAAGGCCAGAATTAAAGTACTGCTATGAGTGGTTTTGGTGAGACTTCCCTTCCGGGCTGTGGTAGCCACCTTCTTGCTGTGCCCTCAAGTGGTCCCTTCTCTGTGCGCATGGAGAGAGAGCTGGGTGTTCCCTCTTCTTATGTGGANTTAAAGTACTGCTATGAGTGGTTTTGGTGAGACCTCCCTTCCTGGCTGTGGGTCGCCACCTTCTTGCTGTGCCCTCAAGTGGTCCCTTCTCTGTGTGCATGGAGAGAGAGCTCAGTGTTCCCTCTTCTTATGTGGGCGCCAGTCCTAGCAGATTAGGGCCCCATCCTTGTGACCTTATTTAACCTTAATTACAACCCTAAAAGCCCTATATCCAAATACAGTCACATTAGAGGTGAAGGGGTTCAACATATGAATTTGGGGGGGAGGCACAATTGAGTCTATAACACTCATATAATATTAGCTCTTTGGTGTCTGGCTTATTTCAGTTAGCATAATGCCTTCTTCATCCAAGGCTCATGTGATGTGTGTCAGAATTTCATCCCTGACATAATATCCATGATATGTATAGATCATTTCTTAATCCACTCATCCATCAACAGATACTGGTTGTTTCAACTTTTATCTATTTTGGATAATTTGCTATGAACATGGGTTCATAGGAACATATCTGTTGAAGTCCTTGGTTTCAAATCTTTTGCATATATGCCCAGGTGGGATGTGGAATTGCTGGACCAGAGGCTCTCTCTTTTAGAAGCTCATACCATTTTCCACAGTGGCTGCACCGTCTCCCCCCCCCGCTGGCAGTCCGCAGGGTTCCCAGTACTCCACGTGCTCGCCAGAACCCGTCTCCACTCAGAGGTTCTGAAGAGAGGACACACGTGACCTGACTTCTACAAGAATAGACAGTTGAGAACCCGAGTGTGCCAGGGAGGAGACCAGTTCTGGCGTTCAGGTGTCGGAAGACGGTGGCTGGGAAGTGGGGGGGCGGTCAGAGTCTGGGCAGAGTCCACAGATGTCCTGAAAGATCGATGTGGACTGAGAAGATGAGACGCAGGGCAGGGACCGTTCCTAGCTGCTAGCCATGGAGAGGCCAGGGCTATGGATGTGGCAGGAAGGTGCAGGGGTCTGTGAGCAATAGCCGTTCAGTTTGGGGTAAGTGAAGTCTATCCTCTCACTTGGCTTCCTCCAGCTGATGCATCACTAGAACAGGGTCAGCATAAGTGAAAGGCCATGGCCACAGTGATGTATTAAGTGCAGCAAATTCCAGGTCTGTGTGAATCAAGAGTGGAACAGAGTGGGACCCCATCGTAAGGAGCCGATGTTGTTTTCTATGTAACAGACTTTGAATATTGGCAGAGTGGGATTGAAACAGTGAGCGATGATTGAATGCCCCTTTGGTGCCAGGAACTGTGCTGGATGTGTCTCCAAACTCCGCAAGCATCCAAGACTGGCATTATTTAGATTTTACAGTATGAAAATTGAGATGAATGATCATGTAATTCACCGTGGAGCTTAAGACTGTACATAGATGTGGCTCCTAACCAGCACTTTCCATTCCTTTCAGGTGATTTTACTCAAGGTGGTTGGTCAGTCTGGATAATTCAGGCTATGTGTCTCCCTGCTCTCCCTGCTGTGGGGAGGGAGGGTCGCCTAAAGCAAAAATAACTAAAGAAGAGGCGCAGCTGTAATTTCCATAGGGCGTTCCCTGGATCAGTAGCAGCCCCTGAAAACTTGTTAAAAATGCATATTTTTGGGCCCTGTTCTAGACCTAGTGAATCTGAAACTCTGGAACCAGGGCCCAGAAATCTAGAGATCCCACTGTGGGCTCAGGCTGAGATGCTGCCTACAGGCCAGTGTGTGGTGAGTCAGCAGCTCCCATCCAGGCACCAGATTCCAGCACCTGAAGTGTGACTGCACCAGCTAATAGCTGTGCAGCCTCAGGCAAGTCTCAAAGCCTCGGTCCCCTCATCTGCCACACAGGGGTAACGGGGAGAACTTGCGACTCAAAGTGGGGTGTAGACTTCGAGCAATCACACCATCTTCAGGGAGCTTGTTCAAATGCAGCACTTCGGTCTCCACCCCAGATATACTGAGTCAGAATCTGCATTTTCACCAACGTGTGGACTGAATATTTGTGTCCCCCCAAAGGCACAGGTTGAAGCCCTAACTCCCAGTGTGGCTGCATTTTGGAGAGAGGCCTCTAAAGAAATAAGTCAAGTTAAATGAGGTCAGAAGGGTAGGGCCCTGATCTAATAGGATTAGTGCCCTTATAAGAAGAGAGACCTCAGAGATTATTTGCTCTCTCTCTTGGCTGGCACACACCGAGGAAAAGCCAAGTGAGGACACAGAGAGAAGGTGGCCCTCTGCAAGCCAGGAAGAGAGTTCTCACCAGAAGCCCACCACACTGGCACCCTGATCTCCAACTTCCAGCCTCTAAAACTGTAGGGAAATAAATTTCTGTTGTTGAAGCCATCCAGTCTTGGTACGTTGCCATGGCAGCCTGCCCAAGCAGATTAAGACGAGATTCCCAGATGATTTTGTCTGGCACAGTCCTAGGGCCTGAGGTCACAGTTTTCTCCCTCATGTTCACCGCTGAGCTCTCCGACCCACCCTGGACATTGAGTCAGCAAGGTGCCCCTTCCTCTTGCTAAGAACTCTCTTTGAATTCGTCTGCTAAGAACCATAACAAGAAAGCAGAGATGAACTTGGTACGGGAGTGATGAAATGTGTAGATTATTTTTAAACTAGGCAATGCCATCTAGAAACAAAGAGTAGTTCCCTGTGGCTTTTGTGCAGTTTTGACCAGGGGAAGGGAGAATTTCCTTTCTTTCCTCCAGTGAAAATGTGTCGAATTTGCAGGGAGAGGTCCACATCCGATTTTGACGTCCCCACGAAGAAGTGGCAGGTGTTAATCAACTGCCTAACCAAATCAGTGACCCAGAGGCAGGCTTTATGTTTAATTGCCACTGAGGACCCTCAAGCCACAGAAGAAAGCCATCTGGCGGCCTCAGAGCTCTTGCCGCATCCCTGAGATTATTCAATTTATTCTTGTCAGGATTAATTTACTAAGTCCGTGCTGGACTTTTTATTTAGATGATATTGTTGGTTTGTCATCTGATGCAGCTCTATGCAGGAGGTGCCCCAGGGGACGGCACTTGCTTCAGAACAATGTTGGACTCAAATTGGAAAAATGTCACTTTGGCGGGAACAAATTATTGTTCCAATCGCCCCACGTAGAGCTGGTGTCTCCAGATGGGCTCCGGCCTGACCTTTTCTGAACCCGAGTAATTGTGTGAGTGCCTCCGTCCCGCTGGAAGACTTCGCTGGGAAAACAGCTCAACTACTTAAGCGCTAAGTAGGAATTTGGAGCCATGCACTATGGCCAAGCAATCCACTTCCCTGCGGAA